ATAGGTTCTACCAGGGTTTGAGTAGTCTTGCAAAGACAATTTATTTACCTCATCATTATTTAAGGCTAAGTGATTTCTAACAGGGATTGCAGTCCCCTGTTCAACTATGATTTGGCTAATTGTATTGCTCGGTTAACCTTTCGGTTTTCCTAGAACTACTTCTTTATCAAAATTAAAGGTAAGTGAACAATTACATGCTTCCGGCAGGGCATTGTTGATCGATGTTGGTGGTCCAGTGTCGCTCGATTTCTCTACCGAGTTGTCGCTCGATGTTGCACTCCAACTGTCGTTCGATGCTCGTGCGGAATCCGTATTCTCCATCTTAGGACATGTATCAGAGGGTAAGAGGAATTTTTTTAGCAATTACGGAAATAAATTTCTAGACTATATCCTAAACGTAATCTAATGGTAATAAGAAAGAGTTCCCGGCAACGGTGTCAAATTTGATATCACTCAAATTACCCCAAGGAGTGACTTTACTCTCTCAAATAAGAGGTTCAGCTGTAGTACTTAAGGATCAAATCCACAGAGACTCTAGGATTACACAATAGATTTACAGTTTTCGGAATAAAGCTAGATGAATATGTTTTAACAGTAAATTAAAGGGTGAACAAGGTAGTTGTTCGGTTGAATTGGATTGAGATTGTAATGATTAGAAAGGTAGCTATATTTAGGTGAATTCTCAGGTATGATTAATATCGTTATAATAATGACAAAGGGTTCTTAATTACTAGTTATTCTCAGACTCAAACTTATATATAATCTATCAGTTGTCGCGTGTTTAGATTAACTACTTCTGGATCCATTGATCTCAGCTGTCGCCTGATGATTAATAGAAAGTGTTGATCGATGATTATTTACGAACATCGATCGATACACCTTTCGCAAAGCTGATCGATTGCTCGATATGAGCATCGATCGATCGCGCTTCCAGAAAGCATTACGAACGGGTTTGAATAGTTCCCTAAATCAGTAGGAAAACATTCGTATGAATATAATTTATTAGGCCATCCTAGTTTACTTTCACGTAATTGACCAAGCTGTCGCTTGCGCCAATTAATCCTAAGATCTAAGTCAAGGGTGATCAATCCTAAACTTATAATAAAGGGCAAACTAGAAGAAGAATGTAACTAAGTCACTCCTGTCATTAAATCATATCATTTACACATAATCAACCTTATTGGGAAACCAAAACCTAACAATAAGATTACTCACACATATTTATGACAAACAAATTCATAATGGTTTGAATAAAATTTTGAATACATAGAAAACAAGTAAATAAAATATAAAGCAATGGACTTCAAGATCTTCTCTGTCATGAAGTTCAAATTGCTCTTTCTCTCTAAGGTAGAAGACGGTTCTCCAGAGACAATAGTTTATGAAAGCTTAGGGTTTACAAAGTAATAAAAGTCTTATAAACAGTCAAACATTCTGTCAGAGATTTGTCTTGCAAAATAGGAGACTTCTGGATAAAGCTTGTAATTTCTCTAAATCACCATTAGACTCACGGGTAAAGTATCGGCGTCGACCGATGATACCTCGATCGATGGTAAGTGTAAAATCTGTCTCCGACTTTGGTCTTTAGGATGAGTATTATTCAATACTCTGAAATGATAAAAAAATCTCTAGTTTCTTTTCACAAGTACCTGAACTTGTAAAGACGCTAAAAGTATTCCAATTGCATATAAAATACTTTGAAAATATATTTAGATCATGACTGAAAAGAGTAAAATCCATAACCTATTAGAGCTCATGAAAATAAGAATGTAGACAATGATCAAATCTTTAACTTTAGCGTTAGATGCATAATTTGAGTTGAAATTTTAGTATTTACTATTATATTACAGTTATGCTTGTTAACATAACATTTTCATTATATAAATTGTTAACGTTTTACAATATATAATTATGTATATGTGCTCACTGTGAACACATCTGTTTTATTTCTATAAGTTTCAGAAAATGTTTTGACGCATCTTAAATTCTTAACGCCTCACTTCTGCATATTCGTTATATATATATATATATATATATATATATATATATATATATATATATATATATATATATATATATATATATATTCATTTTGTAACAAAAATGTTTAGTTTACTACTCAACTTGAGGTAATTTAAGTAAACAAGCCGGAATAAAACAATTAATATAATAAAATACACGATAAAAAATAAACATATTGAAACATATATATATATATATATATATATAGATGTAAGATAAATAAACTTTAAAAGATATTTTGTATGATAAATAAACATAAAAATATTTGGTTTTGTTTTTTTTAATATTGAAATATATATATATATATATATATATATATAGATGTAAGATAAATAAACTTAAGAAGATATTTTGTATGATAAATAAACATAAAAATATTTTTTTTGTTTTTTTTTTAATATTGAAATTTTGTTGAGGCATAGCGTCGTGCAATCCCATTATCCCACGAAGCGTTGTGGAGTCCAACTGAGCGTTGTAGCTGTCAAATAAAAAGACGTGAACCAATCACCATGATGTACTCTAGGCTGAGCGTAATAAAAGGCATACTAACAAGTGGTACACTGCACAAGATTGATCAGTTAATTAGAACCGTGCTTCCTTTTTCCGTCCAGACGACTCCAAACTCACAGGTACCCTCCTCCAAATGTGGTTTCTTACGCCACACTCCGCCACTCAAGACTGTTAGTTATTGTTTTAGGTTTGTACACAAATTAAGAAAATATTTAATTTTATATATTTTTTAGATAAAAATACAATTACCCTAATATATATAAACACATTTTAATCAATAGAAAATTATAATAACAGATAAATTTAATAAATTTTGTATTGAAATTATAAAATGATATATTCTAAAACGAAAATTTTACTCTATAACAACAAGTAGTTATTTTCTAATTCATGATCCATTGTATCGTAAAACTTTTCATTCTTCTGCATCATTCAATAACAAATACCCGTCAAGAAAAATAAAGTAGTTCTCGTTTCTTATATATTATATCCAAAATACTAAGTCTTATGCATTGTTTATCCGAACTATGTCCATGTATTTTTAATCTCTCTTTCTTCCCTTCTGTTCGCCTGGTACTTGCCTTCTTATGTAATGTATAAATTGTGCTAGTGGAACACCACTCAACATAGACATGTTTAATATATTTCTTTGAAATTGTCTAACTACATCATTTTATATAGGTTGATCTAAAAAAGAATACATCATTTATTATGTACTAAATTTTGATTAGCCTTTGGCGAATATATTTTTATTTTAAATTTTTCTGAGAATATTTTTATAATTATATTTGTGTGTAATCATTTATTAAGAATATAAAAAAAAAATTTGTGTATTAATATAAAAAGTAATATATGAATAATAAATAGTTAGACTAAATATTTATCAATTATTCATGAACATGTTTTAATAGAATATATATATATATTTGTTAATAAATAATTATTTTCATTTATATGTTAAAATTCACAACTATATTATATAAATAGGTTAATCATCTTTTTCGAATCAAATAAATATATATTTATTTTGAACTCTATTAAATACATTTAATCATATAAATTAATTAACCTATTTATTAATAAAAGAAGAACACTATTATCTATTTTAATGAGACTATTAAAAAAATATTAAGAAAAAAAAAATACCACTATCCATATTTTCAAACAACACTATAACTTTTTTAATATTGTTATCCATGCTTTTAATTTCTCAGAGGAACTTCATTTTTAATAATATATATATATATATACTAATCTTAAATTATATACATGTACTTTTAATGTTTGCCAAATATAGAGATATAATAAAAACTCTTAGTTTTATGTAGAAAAATAGATTACTTAAATATGAGTTAATAGTTTAAGTGGTTACAAAGCTGATCACCTATATTTTTTAAAAAGCAAAGATATTGTATTGTTTTAATTAAGTAGTCTATAATCAGTCCAAATTTAAAACTCAAAAACAATTGTTTTGGTGATCAATATTCGTTTATCACTGTGATAAACTTCCATATAATTTGTTCGTAGTAATTTTATATCGTCTTCTTATATATATGTTTTTGACACACATATATATGTAGCAGCGCATCTATGTTTTTGACACCTTTGTTGAGCTCTGTTGCGAGAAGTAACTTTTTCTTTGTCAACGCAACGCAATAAATAACTATATCTATTCAGTTACCGCTATAACGTAAGTGGTGGGAGAGTGAGTTGGTTTATGCCCAAAACAAACTTTTGTTATTTTTGTAAAATTTGAAGTACAGTAAAACTTTTAAAAATTAATATTTGATAAATTAATAATATCTATAAATTAATAAATTTTGTTGGTCCCAATTTAGACCGACTCAAAATTTGACATAAATTAATAAAATAATAAGATAATATTTTTTTACAGAATTTTATGTAAATATATGATCCCATTAAAATTATAAATTAATAATTTATATGTATACATATTTATATAAGTAAATACTAACATTATATTATTTGTTTTATATTCACAATAAAATTTGCTTTATATTTTCTTAACACTTAATATATTTTTGATGAAATTTAGTAATATTATATTTAAAATCACATATAAGTTTTAAGCAATATATAGTATATACACCAAATAATTCAATATAATTAATATAAATATAAAATTTCAGAAATAATAATTAATGTATATACACTAAAATAATTTTTTATTTTAGAATAAATATATTTTAAAATAAAAAATGAAAAAATAAACTTTTCTAAATTAATATCTTTATAAATTAATAAAATTTCAAAATCGTAACATTATTAATTTATAGAAATTTTACTGTATATATAACTACGATTGACTCGAGATATGACACCCCATGTTATGGACCTTCTATAACTTGTGTAACATATAATTAGAAATGTCCTCAGGCAAACTTGTATATATATCTTTTTTCTTATTATACATTTACGAAGAGAGTACAAGACAAGACTTTCTAAATATGGCTTCCTTGCAATTGCAAAGAGCCATAGAGAGCCCAACACTTGAGCTTAAAATTGTATCAGCCCGTGACCTAAGCCATGTTGATGCCGCAGACAATATGGACGTATACGCCGTTATTTCAATTACTGGTGAAACAACTCAAAAGACACAAGCGGCCAAAACTCCCATTGACTACGACGGTGGTTGCAATCCGACATGGAATCACACCATCAAGTTTTTGTTCAACGAAGAAGCAGCACGTGATGGCCTATTGACCCTCAACGTCGAGTTATTTAGCTATTGGCTCGAAGGGAGGGATGACCTATATTTAGGAGAAGTAAACATCTCCGTTCAGGAGCTTTTCACCCCAACCCCGCTTCCACCGTTTGCAAACGGTAACGTCAATAAAATGAAGCCGTTGACTTGCCCTATCAAACCCACAGATGGAAGATGTACCAACGCAAGCTTGAGCCTCTTGTACCGGTTTAAACCGGCAACGGTTGAGGATCCATACCATCCAGAGCCTCAGGATCATTCCCCATCGATTGGTCAACCCGTTTATCCAAACCCGGATCCAGGTCATCAGCCGGTTGTATATTCACCTCGAATTCAAACGGGTACAACAAAACTGGACCTGGAGGTCGTGATCAAATACGCCAAGGACATCAAAGATGTCAACGCCTTTTCAGTGATGGATGTATACGCATCCGTTGCTATCCTTAAGGACAGGAAGGTGAAGGACAGGATTAACACCCCTGTCAATTTCGCAGCCGATACAAACCCAAAGTTGAATCATAGGGTTAAGTTTTCTCTCGATGAAAATTTAGCTCAAGAAGGGCGTTTGATCCTCCTTGTTGAAATGATGAGCCACAGGCCTTTTCTTGGTGATAAGGAGATCGGATTTGTAAGACTTCCGATTCAACAGCTATTAGCTTTGAATCCACCTACTCCGTTAAAAAACGGTGAAGGTAACGGTATGAAGTTGGAGACGCACGCTTTGACCGGTCCTTATGGGAAGAAGGGTGTCGTGAACTTCACGTATAGGTTTTTAACGGAACAAGTTACATTTTCAACGGTTCCACTACCATCAACCACAACATCCCAGCCACATATGTATCTTCCGGTCTCGCCTCACTCATATGCGTCGTCGGATCCGGTTCAGGTGACCTCGAGTTACGTGCCTGTTCAACAAGGTGGAAATGCTGGGCCAAGCAACGGTCTAGTACCAATTTACATGCCAACGCCATATCAACCACATGCCTACCAACAATATCCAACACTGCCGGTGCAACCCTATCCGCATCCGCAGCCACCACCACAACTTTAGCAGCTTTCCTCGGTCATTACCGGATACACAAGAAGCATATTCTGTCGTATCCGTGCTTTATTATTATTTTTTTTTTTTGTTAATTCACCCGTCCTTTTATTTTAATGTGTGGAACATAAAATGTTCTCAATTTGTTATTTATAATTAAAGGATTTGCTATTTTTCCTGCTTATAATTTGTAAGAAAGTTTTGCTTCTTCACTTCATGTTTTGTTCATATTTTTTGTTAGCTTAAATTTTTATTGAATAAGTTTTTAGCATTCCTTCATTTTAGGCATGCTCAAATTAAGTTTTTAGGCATGATCAGATTTCTTTCTTTATCTTTCATTTGTTTGTTTTTTCTAGAAAATTATATTGAAAGAAACTATTTTTCTTTTCAATTACACATATATACACATGTTACTTAAGATACACATTGCTGTTGTTGTTTATCCCTTTTACCCTTCAACTATATTTGATTCTCTTTATTTTTTCTCTCGCTAAAACGTCATTTTCTATTTTCTACTTCTTCCTTTCACTTTTCATTTTTCTTCTTCTTCTTCCTTTCACTAGTCATTTTATGTTTTCTTTTTTCTTCCTTTCACTCTCATCTCTTATGGTATTTGTTTAAATTTAAAGTTGTCTTGATAAAATAAATTCGGAAACTTCACGATTCTCTAAAGTGTTTAATGATGCCTTTCTTTTACGGTTGATGACTAATTTTAAAATTCTTTTAATCCAAAACACTGTCATATTTTGTGGTATTCATTCATTTAATATTAAAGTTATATTCTTTTTTTCAGTGATTTTTTTTTAACAATAATAGAAAATTTCAATATGAAAAAATACATATTAAACTTTGTCACGGTTGATGACGGCAGATGGTCGAAGTGGCGGTGAATACCAGAGTAAAAATTGTGGTGGTTATGAATATGAAGATGGTGGATACGGTGGAGATTAAAGACATGAGAGTGAAGGATACGAAGGTAAAGGTCACGATGGATATCAGAGTAGAAGTTGTAGTGGTTATGGATACATAGATAGTGGATATGGAGGTGGTGGATACCAAGGTGGAGACCCTCGTCATGAAGTTAATCTGCGCGCAGTCACTGTTTGGAGAGAGAGACATTGGAAGGGTCAAAGTCCGAATGCAAGAGCTTTTACGCACAAAGCCACCATCTCTATTAACTAACAGCGACACTAACGTTATGAAGTTGGTTACGCATGATGTCATGGAGACGTATGGATCATATGGAGGTAGAGGACAATTGTATTTTTCGTATAGGTTTCTTGGGGCTCAGGGAACCTTACCTTGCATGTCCACTACAACATTCAACCCACCAGTTCCGCATATACCGTTCTCAATTCCTCGGCCAAGCAATGGTCAACTAACAATTAGTATGCAACATTTGTTAAACTATATAATCTAATCTCTCCTTGATACATTTACATAAATTAGTTACTTATGTTATTACACAAAGAGATGTAACTCTTGATGTTACGAGGTGTGTCTCTTAGCCTAATGATTCGATCTTTGTATAAAGATCAATCATTTGATGTAACATCAATACAAGAATATCAATAATAAAAAGCATTTCAGGTAAGTTACATCATTTTCGTAACCATCTGAAATAAGCCTATAACATCCATCTTATTATTTCTCTCAAACTCATTGTGTAACACAAGCGATTGGTAAAAGATTAACATGGTATCAGAGCCCTTCGATTGAGAGGACGAAAAAGAAAGCACTATTAAGAGAAACACTTGGCATGGAGAAAAGAAGGCTAGAAGATTCTGTCATACGTTACATCAGAAGCACACAAAAATGTTGAAGAATCAAGTAATCCCCATATTTGATGGAGAGAAGTACGACTTCTGGAGCATCAAAATGACAACCATTCTCAAGACGAGGATTTTATGGTATGTGGTTGAAGAAGGCGTGGGAACCCCACCAGAATAAGTGGATAAAACCCCTGAGACAGCAAGGGTAAGATCGCTTAGAGAAGAAGCGATGGTGAACGATACGATAGCTTTGCAAATTCTGCAAACTGCCGTATCGGATGATATCTTCTCTGGGATTGCAGCAGCAACAACTTCTAAAGAGGCGTGGGATGCATTGAAGGCAGAGTATGAAGGTTCTCCTCAAGTCCGACTTCAAACGTTTCGAAGGGAGTATGAAAATCTAAAGATGAATGAGAATGAAGACATCAAGGTCTTCACAGATAACTTAGTTGATTTGGCAAATAAATTAACTTATCATGGTGAACAAAAGTCAGATGTTCAACTCATACAGAAGATACTCATCTCTCTCCCAGCCAAGTTCGATAGCATAGTCAGCGTGTTGAAACAAACAAGCGATTTGACTTCAACAAAGATGACAGAGTTGATCGGGATTTTGAAGGCTCATGAAGCAAGGCTGGCTACCAGAGAAGAAAGCACCAGTGAAGAAGCATTTGATGCTCGTTTTAAACACGGAAATTCTGATGCTACATCAGACAACTCAAAGTGCCAAGGAGGCAAGAAGTGGTGTAGTTACTGCAAGAAGAACAACCATACCGAGAAAGAGTGTCTGAAGAAACAGAAGAAGGATGATACAAAGAAGGATCACATAATTAACAAGGAATGTTAAAATTGTGGCAAGATGGGCCATTTTGCAAATCAATGCTACTCAAAGAAGAAAGAGAAGGTACATGTGAGTTTCGAAGAAGACTCGAATGAAGATCACATGTTGTTCAGTGCGAGCGAAGCAGCAACAACAGTGATGGAGGACGTCTGGTTAGTAGACAGTGGAGCAACTAACCATATGACAAAGGAGGACAATTACTTCTCAAGGCTGGATAAGAGTATCAAGGTTCCAATAAAGATTGAAAATGGAAGCACGGTCATGAAATCCGGTAAAGGAGACAATACTGTCATGACTAATGGTGGCAAAAGGACCATCAGGAATGTATTCTTGGTTCCGGGTTTGGCAAAAAAATTGTTGAGTGTTCCACAAATTGTTTCAAGTGGATACCGGGTGAATTTCCAAGAGAAGAGATGCATCACAGAGGATGCAAAAGGAAGGAGGATAATGAATATCCCAATGACTCACAAGAGCTACATAATTAGGATGAGTTCGGCTCAGGAAGAAGAAGCCATGAGCGAAAGTGAGCAAAGCAAAATGGAGTCATGGCACAAGAGACTTGGTCATGTAGGCGACAAAAGGTTGCAACAAATGCAAGACAAAGACTTGGTAAAGGGATTACCAAAATTTAAGGTCAGGAAGGGAGCATGTGAGACGTGTAGACTTAGAAAGCAATCACGCAAAATCTTCCCAGAGGAATCTCAAACTAAGACAAGTGAAAAGCTTGAGATTGTACATACAGATGTATGTGGGCCAATGCAGCATCAATCCATTGATGAGAGGCGATATTTTTTGCTGTTCTTAGATGAATATACTCACATGTGTTGGGTATATTTCAGGAAGCAAAAATCAGAGACCTTCTCATTGTTCAAGAAGTTCAAAGCAATGGTGGAGAAACAATCGGGTTGTACCATCAAGACATTGAGGTCAGATGGTGGTGGTGAGTTCACTTCACATGAATTCAACCGGTTTTGTGAAGAAGAAAGAATCCACAAGCAAGTCACATTTCCTTATTCACTACAACAAAATGGTGCAGCAAAGCACATGAATAGGACCTTGGTGGAGATGGCTAGATCGATGTTGGCAGAGCAAGACTTACCGCTCAAGTTATGTGCAGAAGCGGTATACACTACCTCATACCTTCGAAACCGTCTACCATCAAAGGCAATAGAGGAAGATGTCACTCTTATAGAGAAGTGGTGTGGACACAAGCCAGATGTGTCACACATGAGACTGTTTGGTAGCATATGCTACATACATGTCCCGGATCAAAAGAGGAGAAAGCTAGACACCAAGGCAAAGCGTGGAGTCTTTGTTGGCTATAGCAATCAATCCAAAGGCTATAGAGTTCTCATCTTGGAGAATGAGAAGATTGAAGTATCAAGAGATGTCGAGTTTCAAGAAAGCAAGAAGTGGGATTAGAAAAGGGAAGAAGAAGTGAGGAAGACATTGGAGTTGTCTATAAAAGACTCTCACTCGCCTGAGGAACAAACTGAAGTTACATCCAGTTCGGAGGAACAAACCGAAGTTACATCCCGTCCTGAGGAACAAACCGAAGGTACATCCAGCCCTGGGGAATAATTCAGAGGTACTTTCAGTCCTGTTCTCTTTCAAAATGATGATCATGATACAAGTAGTGGAGATGAAGAAGCTTCTGAGGCACTAAGGAACTTCAGGTCCATGGTTGATATCATGGAAAGGGCACCGAGAGTAGAGCTTGATGAAGCAGCTCAAGCTATAGAAGCTTGTCTTCATGCAAATGAAGAACCATACACTTATGATGAAGCGTGTGGTACCAAGGAATGGAGAGAAGCGATGAATGAGGAGATAGCCATTATTGAGAAGAACAAGACGTGGAAACTAGTGGACAAGCCAAAGAAGAAGAATGTGATAGGTGTGAAGTGGATCTACAAGATAAAGACCGATGCTAACGGAAATCACATCAAGCACAAGGCGCGGCTAGTTTCAAGAGGGTTCTTTCAACAATATGGTGTTGACTACCTTGAGACGTTTGCTCTTGTCTCAAAACATGATACAATACAAGTCATACTTGCCTATGCGGCTCAGATGAAGTGGCGATTGTATCAGATGGATGTGAAGTCAGCCTTTCTCAATGGCGACCTCAAGGAAGAAGTGTATGTCACACAACCACTTGGGTATGTGACACACGGGAAGGAACACAAGGTGTTAAGGCTACAAAAAGCTTTATATGGTTTAAAGCAAGCCCCAAGGGCATGGTATGAAAGGGTAGATTCATACTTTCTTCAAAACGGTTTTGCGAGAAGTATGAACAATGCGGTCTTATACATCATGAAGCAAGGAGGAGATGTGTTGATCGTGAGTCTATATGTGGATGATATAATCATCACAGAAGCATCATCCAGAGCATCAATACATTCAAGGAGAACATGAAGAAAGAATTTGGGATCGTGGATCTTGGATTGTTGAACTACTTTCTTGGAATGGAAGTAATTCAAGACGATGGAGGCATATTTCTTTCACAAGAAAAGTATGCAAAAAAACTTGTAGACAAGTTTGGGATGCGAGACAGCAAGAGTGTAAGCAACCCATTTACACCAAAAGGAAAAGGAGTTGAAGATGAGAAGGAGTATGGAGATCCGACTAAGTATAGAAGCATCGTTGGAGGGCTTTTGTACTTGTGTGCATCAAGACCTGATGTGATGTATGCAAGCGCCTATCTCTCAAGATACGTGTCATCACCTCGCATGAAGCACTACCAAGAAGCCAAGAGGGTGTTAAGATATATCAAAGGAACATCAAATTGTGGAGTGTACTTCACAAGCGTGAAAGAACCAAGACTTGTAGGCTACTCCGACAGCGATTGGGGTGGTTCTAAGGAAGACAAGAAAATCACTTCAGGTTATGTGTTTACTCTTGGATCATACATGTTCTGTTGGCAGTCAAGCAAGCAACAAACCGTGGCTCAATCAACAGCTGAAGCGGAGTACATAGCCGTGTGTGCAGCAGCAAATCAGCAATAGCAATTGGAAAGAATCCGGTGCAATGCAGAAGGAGGAAACACATAGAGATCAAGTACCATTTCGTGAGGGAAGCTGAGCAAAAGGGAATCATTGAACTGAAGTATTACAAAGGGGATGATCAACTCGCATACATTCTCACAAAGGCATTGGGCGGTTCAAGATTTGAAGATCTAAGGAAGCAGCTTGGAGTTAAGTCAAGATATGATTAAGGAGGAGTGTTAAACTATATAATCTAACCTCTCCTTGATACATTTACATAAGTTAGTTATTTATGTTATTACACAAAGAGATGTAACTCTTGATGTTAAGAGGTGTGTCTCTTAGCCTAATGATTCGATCTCTATATAAAGATCAATCAATTGATGTAACATCAACACAAGAATCTCAATAATAAAAAGCATTTCAGATAAGTTACATCATTTTCGTAACCATCTGAAATAAGCCTGTAACATCCATCTTATTCTTTCTCTCAAACTCGTTGTGTAACACAAGCGGTTGGTAAAAGATTAACAACATTCACATCAGTCACATGAATACCAACAATATTCACAAATGCAATTAGAACGACTTGTTCTGGACCCGCAAGGGTGGCGTTAGGAGTAGGCGCCACGGTTATGGGAAGACCAATAGGTGGAGTTTTAATGAGCGATATGAAGTGAACATACATGGGGGTTGAGAGCTTAGATTCTCTATATTTGGCATCTATAATTTGAGTTTAACATCTTTGTTTTTGCATATTTCAAATTTCGTTTTCCCCTTGTGTGATGTTTCATCTGTCTTGTGGATACCTTTGTGGTCTTCGCTTGTTTCTTTCTTTATTTGAGGAGAATATTTTTATATGAATTAGCGTTTCATGAGCTTGTTTATAATCATCAGTATCGCATGATTAATAGAAAAGAGAAAAGATGTGATCATGTCAATACAAAGGTTTTGGTCTTTCCTGGCAGATTCAATCAACCAACTTTTTGTTAGATATCACTGATCATACTAATCGTGAGTTTATTCGATCTAAACAAGAAAAAATCATAAAGAAAAGAATTCAAGAACACCAACCTCCAATTTTTATGGATAGATTGTCGTGATATGGAGGATTTGAGATCAAGTTTATCTGAGTATTAGTATAATTGTAATATTTAGCTTATTTATGTAACTTTTTCTGTAATATTAATATTTGTTTAATATTATTAAAATATTTTGTATTATTTCTCATTTAAAAATATATTTATTTATTGAAATTTATATATAAAGCTAAATTTATAGGAACATATATAAAATATACAAAATGTATGGACCGAAATGATAAACAATTATTTCAAAGAAAAAAGATATGATAAACAAAAAATATTATCAAAACTATTTAAAAGATACAAATACATAAATTAACAAAAAAAAAAATTGAAAATAAGGTTTTGTACAATGAACCTTAAAAAATCAAGTTTCATTATTCAAAACTATATAATTTCAATTTTAAGGTTATTTTTGAACTATCTAAAAATTTATATTTGAGGTTTTACTGTTATTTTTGAATATGTCTTTATTAGCAAATTTTGCAATGTTTAGCATTCAAGGCAGATTACCCCTAAACAGATAAGTAAAGAAAGACTTGGAGAGAGAATACTAGATAGCATATAAGAGCATTTCCAAATAAAGGATGTAAGAACATCATTAACCCACAAATCTCATTAGAATCTCTTAATGATTATTTTAGTAATTAAATATTGATAAGAACTTTAGTTAAGAAACACCTATATTTTCTTAAAAAAAATATTAAACATTGTTTTGTTCAATATAAAGTTTATTAATTAAACAAAACATATTAAAAGGTAACATTTAAAACATAAATTTTGAAATAAAAACATAAAAACAAAGATTAGTGTAGCAATTATTTTAGATTTCATAAAAAAGAAAGAACAAGAGTGTTATGAATAATATTTGGTGTTGTGAATAAAAAGAGTGAATGATTATTAAAGAGAGAAAATGAGTGTTGTGAAACTTTATATGGACTTTGAATAGAAAGAGATTATGAATCTTGTGTTATGAAGTTACTTGGTATCGACTTTGAATAGAAAGAGATTATGAAACTTTATATGGACTTTGAAGTTATGTTAAAGAGAGAACATAGTGTTGTGAAGTTATATAGAAACTTTAACACAAGTCTATGGACAGAAGAATACAAGAGTTCTATGGACTTTGAATTGAAACATGACACTTGCATGATTTTACACAACTCCGTGACTGATAAAGACAGAAGAATACAAAAGTTCTTGTAACACCCGCATTTTCCAAAATAATAAAATAAATAAAAATGTCTGAAATCTCCATTTATTAAATCGCATAAACCATCTCCAAACTCCATAAATCCAAATAACATAATAAATCTCAAAATAACGATAAAAATAAGTCTGAAAATAAATAAATAAAACTCCCAAAAACCAATCCGAAATGATCACTCCTGATCGTCAGTATCACCTGAAAAGGGGGAAGAGAGAGGAGTGAGTAACAGGGGAGTCACTCAGTGAGGTATGGGATGCTAAACCACAAACCACTGACTCAGTACATAGCATTACGACTATGTAGGCCTAGCTCTAGCATGAGACAAACACGGTGTCTATTACACCTCACAGAACAATCATATGCCTAGAGCACCATACAACAACAATCAATGCGATGATTGTACATAGCTAATCTCTGCACCCCGCAATCTCCTCATAGGGATATACATATATAACTCTACAGGCGTCGCTAGTACGGTAATCCACTCCGTACCCCCGCAATCTCTACGGCGGGCTAGTACAAACATCTCTGTACCCCGCAATCTCCACACAAGGCGGCGCTAGCACAGACGTCTATGTGCCCCCGCAATCTCCTCAAACAAGGCGTCGCTAGTACAGACGTCTCTGCACCCCCGCAATCTCTCACACATGGACTCGTATGTAGTTACATATATATAGCAATTCTTAACATCAATCATGTCACACAACCGTTGAATCCTCTATTATCCTATGTCCGGTTTAACAATCAATAACAATAAATAAACAAAATAAGACTCAAACAAACTCGATTCACAGAGACGGATCATGTTTCAAAACTAAACTTTTCATAATAGTAGTACTAAACTAGTTCGGGATTTAAGGAATAGCCCTCACCTTGGCCAAAAATCGATGAACATGAAATGTATCGGAAAATAATGAAACGACTTGATCACCAAGAAACACTAGGGTTCACCATGGATCTTTGACTTCTCGCCATAGCATGCCATATCAGAATTTAGAAACAAAACAAGAATATATTAATAAATATATAAAGCTAGGGTTGATGGTGGAATTACTTGCTTATCAAGAAACAAGGAAAGAGATGCAACCCCTATGCATGAACTCACGTTCCACCAATTAACACAATTAAGAGTCATTAGTATAACATGAAATCACGCAAGGGAAAACAAGTTGCGGAAGCTTACGGTGAGCATGGAACGAGATCACTAGGAAGACGAGTGGTGATGGCGGCGTTGCGGCTGCAACCACACCGGCGAGATGAGCAGACCAGATCTACGGCGGTGGCTTGGGATTGCTGGAATGATGACGGCATAGATCTCCAATGTCTGTCACAACTGGGCACGTTGAGACATGGTGGTTGGTGACTCGCCGTGGTGATGAACGGAGACCTCAAAGATAACGCCTCTTCTTTACACAAATGATCATAGAAACCAAGAAGGGATGAAGCAAGGGAGAAGAAGGAAAGCCACTAGAGAGAGGACAATGGTGGCTGCTCTCTTTTTTTTCTTAACGAAGGAGAAGATACATGATATATAATTAGGTATAGAAAATCTCACGTATAGTTATAATAATAAAAAAAAAAACTTAACCAGTTTAAGAATAAAATTAGTTTGGTCCAAGAATTAATTAGAACAAGGAAAACCGGTTTAGAAAACCGGGTCGTTACAGTTCTATTCAGACAATAATACAAGAGCTCGTGCTCCTTGAACTCCCTTCCTTACCTGTAATCAATTTACATGGACAGGCAGGTTATTTAGCTAAAAGAACTGAGCAGAGGAATCTCAAAGTCATTCTCACCATGTAAGATGTCGTGCAAGGACCCCATTGTTGCAAACTCACATGCCAGGACTCGGAGGTTTCCATCAACACAAAAACCAAGCAGTTGAATGAGATTCTCATGCTTGAGTCTAGACACCATGGAAACCTAAGGAATAGCAAAGTATTAATATATAACAAGTTGAAAAGACAATGTAAACAAAAGCTTCTTAATCAAGAAGAAGATTAATAACCTGACTCAAGAACTCGGCATCTGATTCAGCTTCAAGTGCGACATCAAGTTTCTTCAGAGCAACCGCGACAGTATTGACCAAATGTCAACTTATTTGATTGGTGGCATTGTAGATAACAACAACATACCATCAGATTACTGCTGAGAAGATTTCAAGTGTTCCTCTTCATTGAAGCCTTGTATCTGACATGTACATCAGATCCACTTGCGCTGTTACACAAACTTTTGGCTCCTGAAAGAGATTTAAGTAACTGAATATGGATGCAAAGGAGATATGAGCAGATCCACGAGGCAAAAAAAAACAGCGACCAAAGTAACGAACTTTATGGAAATTTGATTGAGCATGTTCTCAGATTACACAAATTCATCAAAAAAAATCAAAACTTTCAATCAAGAACAGAACGAGACATGATCCAACAACAAACACTACACTGAGAACATTTACATGCAAATAACCTCCTCTTCGCCAGAGATATAATCAAAGTTGACAGCTTTACCAAATCAGATACAAAACCCATGAATCTATAGACTAGAAGTTTTTTTTTTCTTCTACAACAAAATCCAATTTTCAGATGCAAACAGAAAAGAAAGAGAAGAAGAGAGGACGTTACCCATTCAATCTGCACTTGCGTCCCTTTCAGTGTCCCTCTCAATCTCACGAGGGTTCATGGCGTACGATCGTCGCCTCCTCTGCATTGATGAGAGAGAAAGGGGATTGCTTGATGGCAGGGCGGATTTAGAAAAAAATATAACATGTGGCATAATATATAAATACTAGGGGGGTTTGGGAGTTTGACTTCGTTAAATTTTTGGTTTATATCTTGTTTGTAGATTTAAGTGTTTGTTTATTTATTTGTGAAATAGACATAGAAAAAAAGAAAATTTGATTTGTAGAGAGAAGGAAGAGAGATATAGGAAGAGAATGGAAGAGAGAGAAGGGAAATTTGGTTAGTTAGCTAATTTGTTTTTCCTTTGTAGCTATAGGGTGCAATTTTCCTTGTTTATATTTGTGTGCAATTATTATTATTGTTGAATCTCTTTTTATTTTCGAATGTAACTTGTGTCACAGAATTGATGTGCTTGACTGAATGGTTGGATAAGATATTTGAAGTTTTTTGGAAATGAGTGTGTTCTGTTTTTCTTTGTGTAGACAGATTGGTTATTTAAATTTGTTTTTTAGATCATCTAATATTTTGTCCAATCTTATATGTTTCTTGTCAGAGTATTTTCTATTGTGTCTCATATGGATTATGCAATTATTGACTTTTATTCTCATATTAGTAAATGAGGTTATGATAAAATTTTATTTTATTGGAACTCAATACATTTTTTATATTTTATTAACTTTATTTTATTTTTGTGGAAGACATTGTAATTTATTTAAATACACTCATTTTTTCAAACATCATGATATTATCATGACGCCATCTCTAACATATAATATTAACAGAGTTTAGTTTATAACATTTTTTTAAATTAAAGAGTTAAACTAACAAACAGAAAAAAAAATATATTGAAGGTTTCTAAAATTTCTCTAATTTTTTCACCATAAAAAAGATTTTGAAGATTTGTTTGTTCAATTTTTTTTTTACAAAAATTTCAATTATTTAGTTTTAAGAGTCTTGGTGAGAATCTATATTATAATGATTCAGTTTAAAGGCTCCTTAAGGTGTCCACATAGGCAGATTGTGGGTCCCACATTTTTATATTAAAATAGATAGTTGTTTTAAAATGGCTACAAACAAAGAATATCAGTTTAGTCAAGTGGTCTAAGACCCCATTTTTGGTCTCCAAGGACATGGGTTCAATTCTCACTGCTCTCATGCATNTATTATAATGATTCAGTTTAAAGGCTCCTTAAGGTGTCCACATAGGCAGATTGTGGGTCCCACATTTTTATATTAAAATAGATAGTTGTTTTAAAATGGCTACAAACAAAGAATATCAGTTTAGTCAAGTGGTCTAAGACCCCATTTTTGGTCTCCAAGGACATGGGTTCAATTCTCACTGCTCTCATGCATACACCAAATTAATGCCATCATCATAAAAATATTTTTTAAACACACATAGTCTTGGTAAGATGGTTACAAACAATGAAATACACTTTAACCAAGTGGTATAAGGTGTCTAATTAAGTATGCAAGATTGTGGGTTCAAACCACGCAGCCATCATTTATTTTTGTTTTTTTTACTTGGGTTATTATCATATGGGTTTTTTGTTTGTAAGGTTTTTATGTTTTTTTTATGGCTTATTGTTTTAAAGATCAAAATAGTTGGATAAACCCTAAAGCATAACGAGTTCAAACCAAAAATAGTTAAAAATGGATGCAAACACTACTTCAGTCTCTACTACTACTGTACTTTCTTTTCTCCTTTGTTGTCTCCATCTGCGAGTTTGCAAGGTTGTCTGTATTTTCAATCATCTACTCCATTTGTAGTCTCCTCCATACTTAGGGGACGACACATTGTTAAGACGGTTAGAGTCTTCTGGTTTGATGGAGCTTGCAAACGTTTGCAAGCCTATAAGGTGCGGCAAGATGAACTGCAACACAATTTATACCCACGGCCCAAGGCTAACTAAATTACCGATCTCTGTAACCGACAATGAATACACCTGCATCAATTAAAATCAAAACATGAACTCGCCACAATCATACTTCTTTCACTAAAATCAAGTTTATGATCATTATCACAACGTCAACAGATAATGTTTTAGGCCCCCAAATCCGTAAAAAAAAAGTTTTAGGTGAAATCGTTCAAAAATCGCCTTAGACCCCATAATTCTAAGAGCCGGCCCTGCTTGTATATGTAATAGGAGAAATGACTAAGCAGTGATATTTCTTCTATAAATAGGGATGTTGTACGAATCTATATTATAATGATTCAGTTTAAAGGCTCCTTAAGGTGTCCACATAGGCAGATTGTGGGTCCCACATTTTTATATTAAAATAGATAGTTGTTTTAAAATGGCTACAAACAAAGAATATCAGTTTAGTCAAGTGGTCTAAGACCCCATTTTTGGTCTCCAAGGACATGGGTTCAATTCTCACTGCTCTCATGCATNTATTATAATGATTCAGTTTAAAGGCTCCTTAAGGTGTCCACATAGGCAGATTGTGGGTCCCACATTTTTATATTAAAATAGATAGTTGTTTTAAAATGGCTACAAACAAAGAATATCAGTTTAGTCAAGTGGTCTAAGACCCCATTTTTGGTCTCCAAGGACATGGGTTCAATTCTCACTGCTCTCATGCATACACCAATTAATGCCATCATCATAAAAATATTTTTTAAACACACATAGTCTTGGTAAGATGGTTACAAACAATGAAATACACTTTAACCAAGTGGTATAAGGTGTCTAATTAAGTATGCAAGATTGTGGGTTCAAACCACGCAGCCATCATTTATTTTTGATTTTTTTACTTGGGTTATTATCATATGGGTTTTTTGTTTGTAAGGTTTTTATGTTTTTTTTTATGGCTTATTGTTTTAAAGATCAAAATAGTTGGATAAACCCTAAAGCATAACGAGTTCAAACCAAAAATAGTTAAAAATGGATGCAAACACTACTTCAGTCTCTACTACTACTGTACTTTCTTTTCTCCTTTGTTGTCTCCATCTGCGGCTCACATTGCAATTGAAAAAAGAGAGAGATGGACACACGAACCGAGTTTGCAAGGTTGTCTGTATTTTCAATCATCTACTCCATTTGTAGTCTCCTCCATACTTAGGAGACGACACATTGTTAAGACGGTTAGAGTCTTCTGGTTTGATGGAGCTTGCAAACGTTTGCAAGCCTATAAGGTGCGGCAAGATGAACTGCAACACAATTTATACCCACGGCCCAAGGCTAACTAAATTACCGATCTCTGTAACCGACAATGGGAACACCTGCATCAAATAAAATTAAAACATGAACTCGCCACAATCATACTTCTTTCACTAAAATCAAGTTTATGATCATTATCACAACGTCAACAGATAATGTTTTAGGCCCCCAAATCCGTAAAAAAAAAGTTTTAGGTGAAATCGTTCAAAAATCGCCTTAGACCCCATAATTCTAAGAGCCGGCCCTGCTTGTATATGTAATAGGAGAAATGACTAAGAAGTGATATTTCTTCTATAAATAGGGATGTTGTACGAATCTATATTATAATGATTCAGTTTAAAGGCTCCTTAAGGTGTCCACATAGGCAGATTGTGGGTCCCTCATTTTTATATTAAAATAGATAGTTGTTTTAAAATGGCTACAAACAAAGAATATCAGTTTAGTCAAGTGGTCTAAGACCCCATGTTTGGTCTCCAAGGACATGGGTTCAATTCTCACTGCTCTCATGCATACACCAATTAATGTCATCATCATAAAAATATTTTTTAAACACACATAGTCTTGGTAAGATGGTTACAAACAATGAAATACACTTTAGCCAAGTGGTATAAGGTGTCTAATTAAGTATGCAAGATTGTGGGTTCACACCACGCAGCTATCATGTAGTTTTGATTTTTTTTTATTTAGGTTATTATCATATGGGCTTTTTGTTTATAAGGTTCTTATGTTTTTTTTTGGGCTTATTGTTTTAAAGATCAAAATAGTTGTATAAACCCTAAACCTTAATAAGTTCAAACCCAAAGTAGTTAAAAATGAATCCAAAACGAATAATAAAACAAAAAACAAAAAAAACAAGTCTCACGTGGTTGCCTACGCGGTTAAAACTATCCTATTATAATATAGCTCAACCCAAAAATAATAAAAAAGCGGAGAGAACCCGAGCTTTTCATACTTTCCTATTTTTAAAAAACTTAATAGTTTCCATATTTTTTTCCTCAAATTCTGCTATTAAAAATACTCAAGGCCAACAACTTTATAAGCTGAATTACTTAGAATCAACTTTGTGGTCTTTTCTTCGAGTTCATAAACATTGACTTAAGAAGATGGTCCTCTCACTAATTCGGTTTTTTAAATGAAGGCGTCAATCCTCAGCTCTGATATATATATATACTATGCTCCTAAAAATATTTTATTTCTTACTTAATTATCTAAATTTCAAA